AGTATTTGATTTTGATATGTAATGTTTAAATATTTTAGCAATACAAAAAATCTTTAATTATAAAAAAATAATATCATTACATATTGGGAATGTGTTATTATATGAAAAAATTTATGGTTTGAGATCTTGGGATTTTTTTTTTGGAGGAGGGAGGAAATTTCCTTTTGCTTCTCATGAACTTTCCATCAATTTTCCCAGAAAATTTTCTTTCTTTTTCTTGCAATCTCTTCAAGTAATGCCTTTATTTTGGAAAAAAAGGAAATTAGAATGAAGTTTGTGCTTGTTTATGACAAATAGAATATGATTAAACTATAAACTCTCATTTGAATTGACATATTACTATCAGATTTATATATTTATAAGTTCGATCTATCTCTCGTTTATAAGTATTCAAAAGGGTTAAACTAAAAAATATATGATTCGTGTGTTCATGAGTTCAATCGATCTCCCATTTACAAGTGTGCAAAAGGGTTAAATGAGGAAAAAAATATTGACATACAGAGTAAAAATTATAGTGAATGAATAGTTGTAAGACTATATATGTGTATATATATAGTTGGAATTTGATATATGGTCTCTAAAAATCAGGGAAGAAGAGAGAGAGACCTCAATTGACAATCATGCTCCTCCAATTAATCTGGTGGAGTGGCATTGACAAGTCATTTTCTCTTCATTTGCTCAGGAATGGCTTAGGGAGTGGGATGTGAGAAATTGTGGTGCTCTGTTCTTACCCTCTTACTCCATATCACAACCTTTTCAAGATTGCATATTCTGTCAAGTCAAAAAGAGATTTTCGATTTGATTCTATCATCTTTTAACTCTCAAGAATTCTATTTTATCCATACCGAATTAATGACTTCAAGATTCAATCTCGAATTATCTTGAATCAATTGTACTAATTAGAGTTCTGTTCTTATTCTTTGATTAGAATTCTTGGTGAAGCAGTTGAAAGAAGGAGGATCAGTGTAAATAATAAAGAAAGATATGTTTAGGCACACAATCAAATTAGTTACAGAGTAAAATCAATGGCTGACATTCTTAATTACTCCAATCCCACTTGAACAATACAAATTAAGAACCAATACAACATTAAGAAAACACACAAAACATGTTTGCCATAAAAGGAAAATTTCAGAGAAGGTGGAAGAACAAGAGGGAAAAGGTAGCTACGAGCATCAACGATATCGAGTAAGGAGAAAGCGTAACCTGGTGAGTTCGTCCTGTTTGACTAGTCTTGGGACCAATTCCTTCGCAAGAAAGTCCTTCTTGGCCTTCCTTGCAGATGTTAGCGAAGAGACCGGGAGGGTACCTGCCGTAGAGATTGATGTAACTAAACATGGTGTTAGCACAATCAGAATTCATGTCATTGATGGAATCTGCAAATGGACAAGCAAATTCTTTGAAGGCATTGCAGCAAATGTTGGCTGGGTAATTTGGTCCTTTGCATTGGCTTGTGATGATTGTGTAATTCTCCTTCTCAAAATCTATAGGACAGGCTGCACTACATTACAAACAAATTTAGAGATCAAAAACATGTTCCAATATAATTTTATAAGTTAGATTTCGTTTCAATAAATTATTACGTTTCAAAAGAAAGAAACATTTCATGAGAACTAAATTTTTTTAATTAAAATAGTTAAAATGGTTAATACCCGGTTTACCGTTTTTGTATTAGAAAACATGAAATTGATGGAAATTTAGTTTGAGAAATTTTTTTTTTTCAGAAAAAAAGAGAGAGAATTTACCTTTCTTTTGTTGAAGAAGAGTACGGCCAGTTGTTCCATGAGATTCTAAAGCATCATCTGCAGGTAAAAACTTAATCAAATAAATCTTTAAACAATGAGAAAATTACCAAAAAGAAAGATGGAGGAGGAAAGAATACATGAAATCTGGGAAGAAGAAGAACAACTGATTCCAGAAAGAAGAACAATGAAGATCACAAAAACACAAAAATTCAAAACCAGTTTCATGGTTCTTCTTTTCTCTGGTTTTTCCTGTTTTTTATTTTTAATTCTTTTTTCTGGGGAGATCGATTAGTTTTTGAGTAATCGATCTCCTCCTTTAGCCCACTTTTTTTTTCTTTTTCCTAATAATGTATTTGCATTTGTTTTTTTTGTTAGTTTTTTTTTTTCTAATTTACTTTCTGTTTTAGCATAAAGAGAAAAATGTTGCAGAAATGGTGGGATGTGTTTGGATTGGACGAAAGTTTTTTAAATTTAGATGTACTGTGTTTTTTTTTTGGGTTATTTTAACATTTAATGATTTTAAGGTGCATGTTAATCCACCATTAAATTGTTAGCTATTCGTTGAATTACCAAAAATGAATCTCCTTATGTATTTCCACAGCTTCCAAAAGAATTATATATATATATATATATGCATGTATACTTCAATCCAAAAGATTTTCTTTTTCTAAATCTTACATTTTCTTTCATATTCACATTATTATTTATATTAGAAAGTGTTTTAGCTTAAGGGGATTGTATCTTTAGAGAGGAGATTAACATTCTATACATATACATATATATATTTTTGCATATTATATGTGTTAGAGCCTTTTGAACAACCACTATCTTCATAACTGCTTGCATTTTGTAACCAAGCGGAGTGGATAGAAAATCATACAAATTTTCTTGGAAAATTCCTCCAGCATACTTTCCCAGTGAGGGAAAAAAAAAACAAAGGAAAACAGT